TCCTCCTCCTCCTCCTCCTCATCATCATCATCATCATCATCATCATCGTCATCATCATCCTCATCCTCCTCCTCCTCCTCCTCCTCCTCATCATCATCATCATCATCATCATCATCATCATCGTCATCATCATCATCATCATCATCATCATCATCATCATCATCATCATCATCATCAGCAGCAGCAGCAGCAGCAGCAGCAGCATCATCCTCATCATCATCATCATCAACACCGCCACCGCCGCCGCCACCACCAGACACAGTGAAATAGCAGATGTGAACTTGAGAAAATTTTACGCTGTGGGCCTTACCTGTGTGGCAATGTACATGTTTTTCCTGTGGTAACCGTCTAAATAATTCGCATTGATGTAGTCACTGTCCGGTACGCCGTCAATCTTCTGCAGGACTATGCGTGAATGGTCATAGGCCACCACATTGGCGTAGCGATTCTTCGATCGATTCTCTGGTCGACTGGACACTTCCCAAGTAAACTGGCCGCCCGGATCGATGGATTCAAATTCGGCCGCCATCAGGCGACCACTGTCCTTTTTCAGGAGGTTTACATGATCAATCATTTCCTCCACCGGAATGGAGTGCGAAGGATACCGCAGAGGAGTAGCTAAAGGAAAGGTGTACGTTTTGAAGTGTGCGCACAACCTACTGAAATACGACACAGTAGTAATAATTAAGACATCACAAAGTGTATAAACGTTGGGCGAAAAGTAGCGATGCTGGTGGCGGGAATTTGCATCCCTTTTCACCACATATTTGGCTGGTTATTCATATGCACAGACTTTTGAGCTGAACCTGCGATAGAGGAAATTTGGGCTTTGGGTCGTTTTTTAGGAAACTTTTGGATTAGAGATGTCCAAAAAACAATACCAGGGTAATGTTAAGGTGATATTTTGAAATGCCACGTTGACTTTACTTGCCTATTCCGTCGGCACGTGTAGATATGACTACATGTATTTGCTTGTTTTATATTGACGGACATCTTTCTGAAGTACATAGTCTTGGTAGCATGCACCGTTTATTTCCAGCAATAATTTTTTTATTTTTCGGCTCCCATTTTTTCATTAATTGCTTAGATTACGCTTTAAAATATTGTCGAATCGGTCATTTGTTAGCGATCTTGTGATTTCCATTGTTGTGCTTTTGCGACATCGTCTTCCTTCGTTTCATAAGAGCATTTTCACCCCCCTCTTGATCCCGATCTTAACATCATATGTGATCTACTTTCATTCCATGATCTACAGCTAGCCCGAGTGCGGTAAACCGAAATGCGAAAACGAAAAATGACCTC